ACTTGACGGCCTAATATAAGACCATTAAATTCTATATCGATGATCAATTGTTACTAAGAATATATTGAAGAAGAAATTTGTCACAAATAATATCGAATTTTACAATAAAAATATTTTTTATTATGATTTTATTGCGAATCGTTATACGAATAAATATAATATTCTTGTCTTATGATCTTATCTGTTCTTTTAAAATAAGAAAATTTTCTTATTTATAAAAAAATTTCTTTAAGAATAAAAAAAATTTTTATTTTATTACGATATAAAATTCTTTGTTAATAATTTTTTTTATTTTTATCTTATTTTTTGTAAAAAATTACTTTTTTAAAATTTTATCTCTTTTAAAAATTATTATTTAAAACATTTTTTAATTACAAAAAAATGATGACTCGGATAAAAGGGGATAATAATTTCTCTCTTAATAAACGTACATCTGTTTCTTTTTTAATATGTGTATATTAAATAGAATATTACGCAGCAAAATAGAATTAAAAAATTATTTCTAATAAAAGACATTGTTTTGATGTTTAATTTTAATTATTTGTCTGATAAAAGTGTACAAGTGTTATAACATTTTTTTTTCCTACTTTTATTTTGCAACACAGTTATGACATCAATCACAGTAAACTGTTTTCCGTCTATAATCGATTTCTCGTAATTCATGAATGGTTATCATTTTATACGCGAGAGATTTATGGTCTTTGTGAGCATGGCTTTATGAGCTGCGAAAACAGAAACATCTGTTCCTTGTGTCAATATCCTCATTAACCCAGAGCTTCTGTATATCGTGACAAGGATTTCTGGCAATCTGTCTTTCGTTTAAATTACATTTATCGATTCTTCAAATCGTGAATAACAATACTGAACAATATTGCATTGCACGGTCATAAGAGTGGGAAAATTTCCCTTGTTTCTTCCAATTTTTAAATATTCATACGAAAAAAAAAAAATGTGAATGATAGGACGAGTGTAATATTTAATTGTTGTTGAAAAATAGAAATATCAATGAGGAATATATTTACATTTATTTCTGCTAATGCGGTAAAAATATCTTTGAAACTTTTCAGATAAAAACTAAAATATTTATTCATACTATATATCATGATTTTTAAACTGAAAAAAAATTTTAAACGATATTTCATTCAGTTAAATGTAATAAAAATATAAGAACAGAGGACAAAGTTTGCCACAAACATCCTAAAATTATATAATCGTAATAATAAAAAAAAAAAAATCCGCTTTCTGTAAATATATCCATAGACAATTAACGAAATTATTTTCAATAACGAGCCTTGCTAATTCGATGCAAATTGATGGCATTGCTTAACAATTCATGCACGAATTGAGTTTCGTTATTTCGACCTCGATCGAGAGGAACGTATTTGCCTACGCGGCGTCGTTGATTGAGATGGAATTCGAGTACGGTACACGCACAACGCTCGTTTATTTTATAGTCGAGGCACGTTTCATAGATCCAATAAGAGATTGACCCGATTTTTACTGTTCGTTCACAATTGCTTTCGAACCGTGGCCGTTACCGACTTTCCATCGCGGAAGATGAACTATCTTGGTCCTCGAGGCAGAAAATTTGACTTAAATATTCTTAGAGATATAAAACTCCGTCTAGTTAATCGGATAACAAGATAGATGCGCGAAATTTTGTTATATTAATGCTTTCTAGCCTTTTTTCGAATCACGATATCCATTTTGAACCAAGAAAGTTGAAGTAAGAAAGTTTTTATAATAGTTTTGGTAAATTTGAAATTTTTTAAAATTTTAAAAAAATTTTCAAGTCTCCTATTTTAATTTTATTTTTTAAGTTCTTTTTTAAGTTTTCCGAATGAGCTTTTTTAATATTATAAATTATTTTTAAGTTTTTTCTAAATTTTCTTTTATTTTTCTAAGTTTGATATGATTCAATTTAAATTTTATAAGATCTAAGTAATCATTTGATTCGATTAATATATTGTTTTTAACATTTATTATATTGTTTTTCACATTTTTAAATTTGTAATTTTTTCAATAACCAAATTTTGGAAAATTCAATCTAACAATTCTCCATCGAAAAAAATTTTTTTCATAAGAATCTTTGTTCAGTTTTCTTCTATCTATTTTATCTTTACGAAGAAATGGAAATTTTTGTTCGATCAAATCGAAAGAAAAAAGTTTTTCATTGGCACGATTCAAGTTTCAAACTTTTCAAAGGCTTCAACAAATCCAATTTAGTTGAAAAATATTTCCAGTATTTTTCGTTATATTTGACTGTTTTCTTTTTTTTTTTTTTTTTGCATAAAGAAAAAACTTATATCGAAAAATTTCAAAAAAATTAAAATTTCAAGCTCTTTTTTTCTTAAAAGGAATGAAAAAAAAATGGGAAAACACTATTGTTTCTTGATGATAAAAATCTTGCGATAAGAAAGAATTTCATATTTTATCATTTTGATTTGTGTTAGTAAATAATTTCTATTTGTTCGTTTCATTTCTTTTATTTATAGTATCTATTTGTATTGCAAATAATTTTTTTTATTTCTTGTTTTTTATTGTTATAGAAAATTCTAAGATTATTAAATATAAATCTAAAATCTAAAAATAATTTCATTTTTCATAATGTATGATGATAAAAAATCTCATAAAACATTAAATAAAATGTGTAAATTTATTATATAATTACGCAAATAAAAACAATCATAAAAAATCAAGAAATATCAATTTCTATAAACAAAAAATAACATTCAGAAAAAAGTAAACAAAATTTTAAAAGTTATTTATATTTATCATTTGAATATCGAATTTCATTCTATAAAAAAAAATATTTAAAAAAATATCAGAACTCAATCAGTTATATTTACTTTACAAATATTTCGTTTCTACGTAATAAAGTTTTTATCTAAAAATCCAAGTTTTTGCTGATTAAAATATCAGTATATAAATATAATAAAATAAATAAGATCTCTATGCATCAAAATTGTAAATATTAAAATAAAAATTTATTATTTTAATTAAATATTAAAATAAAATTTATTATTTATAATAAATTTCTACAATTTTAATGAATGAATTTTTTATTATCAAATATAAAAAGTTAAAAAAAAATTCAGTTAAAAATATAAAATTCTGTAAATCATTATTTAATTAACAAAAAAAAGAGTTTTATATTATACAAAAAGAACTTTATAATTAAAGTCTTTATACATCTGGTCTTCCATTATTTTTTTTGTATAAAAGACTATTTATCAAATTACTCCAAGTGGTTCAAAAATGATGTATTCCGTTATAACTAACGCCCTCTGTAATACGAAACTACAAAGCATTTCATACATTTCTCAAGGATGATGTTCCACTTGCGATGAAAAGGTAGCTTAAGCGAGATAAAATAAGGTTTCATTTTTGTTTTTTAGTCCATCACGGAAATGTGAAGTTCCGCCTAGATTTTCTGTCATCTCGAAAAATGGAATAAAATTTTTCGTGACAATCTTTGTCCTCTTTTCTCTCTTTTTTATTTCTTTTTTATCAGTTTTCTCAAACAGAATCGTAGCAGACAATACACATATGATATCTTTATTAGTTTTTTCTATTTCTGTCGTGATTATAATTAATCAAAAAATTTTTACGAATGTATTTAATTTTCTAACTAAACTAAAAAATATATAGGATGCTTTAAATATTCTCATATTTTTCTTTTTTATTTTTTAAATGAGTTTCCACAAACTTTCTTCTTTATTCCTTAACCTATTCCACACTTCATAAATTTTCATTTCTCGCTTAATATCCTATTTTACCTAATTTATAATATACTATACGATACTTTGAGTAAAAGAACTTAATTAACAATAATCTTTTTCTTAATCTATCTATAATTATATTATAACCTATATCTTATAAAAATTTGATCTAAAAATTCTTATATTTCGTTTATTCTCATATTTATTTGTAATCTATAATTATATTTGTATCTGTAATCAATCCTCTAAAAATATTTTACATATTTAATAATGCTCTGTATAATGAACTAAGTTAATAAAAAATCTGAATATGCACATTGATTTCTAATAAAAGTAAAATTATAAAATATATTTAGACAAAGATATTTCATAAAAGAAAAAAAAATAGCCTTAAAATCAAATATTTGATAAAATTGTATTTTTCTCACCATGTCTATTCTATTAATTCTTGTCCTTTTGTTGAAAGTTCGAGATGAAAGGAAGATCGCATTATTTTCGAGGATAGGTCAAGCATTTATGATAACCGTATTGTCGTCCTGTTTTATAAACTTGTTTCGCGTAGTTTATAAGCATACGAATCTTAACTGTCTTGTATCAAGTGTTCCATGAAATAATGATCAAACTATTTTGCAACATTATTATATAGCTAATTATCAAGATTTATGAGGAAAATCACATTGTCAATACACAATAACAATCGATATAGGCGAGCACATTCTTCACTTTGATATCGAATTAAATTTTATTCTTGAAAAAAGGTTAATCTTCATCATATTTAATTTTTTTTTACAAGAAACTGATTCAAACTGTTAAAAGTCGAATAATATTTGGAACACAATTTCTACAAGATTTTTTATCACTAAACTCGTCGTTTAGAAGAAGTCATAAAACACAATTTTCATTCCTACACTTGTCACCAAAGGAATTCATATGAAACACAATTTCTACTGCTACATTTGCCACCAGACATATTCACATAAAACACAATTCTTATTATTACACTAGAGAAATTCACATAGAATACAATTTCTACTTTTATATTTATCACCATATATAAATGTTCAAGTTTAACGTTTCATGTCTACTTTGACGTCATTGGTTGAATATGCAACCAATGACAACAAGGTATCGTTGCCACTAATTGGAAACTTGCGCCACCACTTAAAGGATTCGTAAAAACGAAATCCGTTAGAAATTATAAGAAAGATTTTGGAACACACCGATCTCTTTTGTGGAATATACACCAGAGGGATCCACATCGAATATAATTCATACTTTTTACTTCTCATTGGAGCAGTTTCATATGGAAAACAATTTCACTGAACTGTTCTTTCTTGTAAGTGCATCTTGTAACCTAATTTCTATTATCCTAGAATCTAAAATGTGGATTTGCTAAATGATTACTGATTTGTAAGTTCAAAATAAAATTCTTTCTCTATTTTTTTCTTTTTTTCTTCAATATTAAATATAATTTACTTTTGAAAAAATAAAATCTTTTCGGAATAATATATATCAATGTTCCAAGATAATTTTTACGAAGATTATAATTTTCTGAACATGATTAACATAAAAACTATTGATATATAAGATTTTATTATAAATAAATTATTCCATTTTGAAAATTAGATAGGTAAAATTTATTTTTTTCTTTAAATTATTATAATTCATATTATCATATTTAAAGAAAAATCAAACTCGAAAGAGTTAAATACTTTAAAATTTTAATTTTTGATTAAAATCCAATTTCGGAATAATATTTGATCACCCATAAATCTTATTATTCAGCAAGTTTAGCTAAATACCTCAACGACATTCAACATTTTAGATTTTTATCATATATAATCTTGAATATACATTATTATCCATTTCTATTATAAATCGTAATCATCTTTAGATATTTCGCATAACTCATTAATATCTCTAAAGTACATTTCATAGAACATATTTGAATGAGAATTCATTAATCAAAAACTTTTTCTGTACAGCAGAATTTGTACGAAATTCTAATATCATAATTTATAAAAATGTGATATATTTTTATAAATTATGATACACGTATATTTTTAACGTGTATAAAAGTCTCTTTAATAGCATGAAATAACTGTTGAATTATTTATATCATCTGATTTTTCGAAAAAATTCAAAAATATTTATGTTATACTATTTACATTGTAAATTTTTTCAATTTTTCAAAGATTTTTGTTTCTTTTATTGTCAAATGTCATCGCGAAAATTTTATGATTTCTCGAAACAACCGTTCAATAATTGAATACAAATTTTCATTTCTTATGCAGGGAAAAGGTTAAATGTACGCTATCGATTTCACGACTATGAACTCATCTACATACACATATCTCTCTTACGAAAAGCTAGTTGTAGATTAACCCTTTGTACTTGAAATATGCCAGAAGTGCTGACACAGACATTAATTTTACCAACTCGGTATATCAATTGTACTGGACACGAATATCTTTGTATCCTTACATTATGCACAATTAAATGAAGACATCCATCTCTGGAAAGAGGTTAAAGACTATAATGGCTAATCTATATTTGCTATCAGGAAAATTTACATCGAGGGATTTCTTAAAAAAAATCCTTATCTATATCAAAACTACCCACTCGGAATATCTATTATCTATTATCATATCTGTCTACCAACTTATCTATTATCTAATGCAATATTCCATTTATACAAGTATAATCTGGTTTATAGGAACGTGTAACAAGAAATTCTTCATGGTTCTTAATGATTTAAATAAAATTTGATAGCACGATAATTCTATCTCTTATCATATACTAAGATAAGGAATAATTTTATTTTATCTTATTATAATTCTCTCTGATATCTAACAAGGAATACTTTGTGCTCCTCAGTTTCAATCAAATTTTGTTAAGAAAAATATACAAATATAAAATTGTAAAAGACTGTATATATATATACGAGAAGTGAGTTAACATCTTCAAGAGGTGAGTTAACATTTAATTCATTCTTTTCAAATATCTGAAAATTAAATTTACACTTTCAGCAATTTTTCGATTCAAATAGACACGTCAAAAGTTATATGAAATAGAAGAATCACGAGAGAAATAAATTTTTCGAAAGTTTAATAACATTCTGAACAAACTTGCAAGACTATAATGGTCTTTGCAAAGATTTTGTGTATGTATTATACTTCGAGGTAAAGTATAAAATAAAAATGTATATAAATATTTCAACGTTTTTGCTTCTTTCTACTTGTTCTTTTTTTCACGATAATTATTGAAATCAATTTTTATCAAATTTTCATTAAACAGATATGTATAAGAATAGAAATGTGTAATGATAGAGGAATTATTCATTAAAGCTAAAGAAATTTTTGTATTTTTTTTTTTTTTTCAAAAGACTTTATCTCATAAAGTAGATCATAAATTTTCTGGTTAGATAATATTAAAAGTTTATTTATTTTATAAAATCCTAATTCTCTTTTACACATACACATTTCTAAACTATTAATATCTTTAAGCTTTATCTTCTTATCTAAAGAAGTTTTTTCTTCCATGCCTAAAAACTAAAAACCATGGATAATTAAATTTTAATGCTCGATTAATTTCATATTCTTGTTATTAGTAGCAGCTAAGACACTTTATATTGTCTTCTCCAAGAAAAATTATTATAGAAGAAAGTATATTCAAAAATATGTCAGCAAAACCAACATATACTATGATTTTCAAACAAAGAAATGTTATACAGTGAAAGAGTAACTACTTTGTTGAATTTACTAAGTTCGTACATACTTCACACAACTTTGGCAGTGAAGTTTCCGCCAATTCACACGCCCATACGCCCCAAGTTAAACTTTGAGGTCAGACTAATTTTGTCTTCGCTATATCACTATGAAGAAAATACTATGTTTCATCAGATACAGTAGCTGAAGTTCCAAGTCTCGAATCTTTAGACGGCTAAATAGCTAAATTTTGACGTCTGATCGATTTTATGACTTTTGATATAAGAGAAAGTTGTAGACAACGTTCGTAAAATGAACTTGGATGTGTTTTGTTGATAAAAAGTCAGATAGGATAAAAAGAAGTAGTCTGGATAATAGCAGTAAAAATCTTAAGTAGCCCTGTCACAGTGATAAAGTGATGTGATGAAGTATATCTAGTAGCAGTATACTTTAATTTAGTCTCTACCATTTCATGCAGTAATCTTGATGACTCTACGAAGACTTATTGCTATCCAGAATTATTTTTGATATTATAATATATTTAATTTGAAAATAAAAAAAATTAAATGAACATATTTTTAATTTATTATAAAATCTTATAAGAAATATAAATTAATATCAAGTTCTCTTATTACGAACCAAATAAATAAAAAAAAATAATTTTTTTCCTCATAATCAATTTCACGATAATTTTTTTTTTTTCTATATTTGAAATTGAAGTTTTGTACTGTATATTTTCGAAATATATATTTTTTTCACGTAAATTCACTTTTTTCAAATTGTCCACACCTGTTATCAATCTCGAACAATATAGTTTTTCAGATATAATAACGAACAGATCCATCGCCACGCTTCACCGCCTCGATTCTCGTTATCGAGTGAAAAAATCTCGAATCTCGGTCGGTACGGCCGATATTGGTCGCGTCGATAAGTGCGATAATGTTTGTTGTGTTTGTTGTGTTTCATATCGAGTGCCTCGTGTTGCATCTCTTATGTACTTCTCTCCCTTTCTCTCATCCTCTCCTATCCGGTGAGAATTTTAAAATTAGACTTTAAGGTCAAACGTTGGTAGCTGTCGTCATCGTTGTTCCTGACCTAGACTCGCTGGGGTGTAAACTCTGCTACGCAGAGGTGTAAACGGTATAAGGTGCGAATGGGAAAAAGAAAGGAAAGGCTCGATTTACACGCTCGACGTAAACTCACCCGTGTAGAGGAGGCGTACTCGACTGGCCATGACGTAAGAGTGGGGAGGACAAGCATCGTGGCACGCGAGTGATTATGTTAAAAGACCATTATATATCATGATTTCGAACATAGACGTTGCAACGTTGTAAGAGAATCGTTGAGCATCATGGTGCGTGTCGTTCAAATGTTTAGCTGAACGAATTGACAGAAATATCATATGGGAATGGTGTTGCGATAATATTTGAGATAAATTATAGACATTATGGGTGTAACGTAAGAAAATCGTTTGCATGTTATTGTATTCACGTGTTTGATTAACCGAATTGACAGAAACTTCGTATTATACGAGCACGATATGGAAGTGATTGCTATGCTGCTAGTCACTGAAATTTGAATGTTTGATGTTTGCGTTAAAGGTATAAATACATATAACGTAACAAAATCAATTGGACGTCATCTTCATAAGTCGAATTGATAATAATATTGAAACGATACTTTTGTCGATATGGATGATTGAAATTTGAATACTTGAGATTGGAATGAACGTGTTTTTTCATTCGAAGATGAATATCGAATAAAAAGATGTACAAGATAATATATCGAGATATTAATCATGTTTTAATAATTTATTAGATTTTGGTGAAAGGTAATCCTAAATTCGGATCTCGAACATTGCACCTTCGAATCCAAATGAAATTTCTGTATTTTTCCTCGCTTATTTTATATGATATGAGAAGATAAGGGTCTGAAAGGTCAGTCCAAGGGACCGTATAAAGTGCAGTGGCCTCTATGATATAGGGAGGTCTTAAATTAACTCTTTATATGACTAGCTTGCGACTGGTCATGGATTGACATGACGCACGCACATTGACCAGCACGTGGCAATTATAACATGATTACTCGCCTCACGTTCCTGAGAAGATGAGATTTAAACATTGATAAAATTCATTGATAAAATTTAGGACGCTTCAAAAAGAAACTTTCCTCGATTCTCTTCCTCCCTTCCCTCCCCATTTTTTTTACAAATACTTCTTTTTAAAATTAATTAATTATCCATGCAAGAATTAAAAAAAAAAAAAAAGAGACTAGGATATCATTACACCATGGAAAAATTTTTGGTTTAAAAAATTGGTTTTTTAAAATGTATATATCATATTGGGTTTGGAAAGAATTGAAGAATAGAGCGCGTAATCTAATTTCCACAATCTCTATCCGACGATTTGAACATATAAAACGAGGAATTTAGAGGGAGAAGAGAGAATTTCTCGCGGTAATAGAGGGAATTGAGACAGCGACAGGGGAAAAAGAGGAAGAGGACGAGGTTAAATGGTTGCATCTAGGGCGGTTCTTAAACGAAACGCGGAATCCTGACGTCGAGACCCGAGCCAGAATCGAATTGGCAAGGGGTTACAAATTTATAAAATAAATTGTACGATACGATGCCGTCTCGATTTGGATTTAAAGATACGCTTAATATGCGGAGGGAGGGATGTTGACGATTCAAAATAGCCAATGAAATAGAAACTTTATACGGCACATAAAATATTGATGATTTTGAAGTACTTCCAGATCCTTGACATTTTAGTCATCGCATTTACTCGTGCCGTTAAAATTACATACGTGCTGATATAGACACTTAGATACTTCGATCGAATTTCTCGAAAATTTTTTTAATTGAGGAAAGAATATCTGCTAACCACGAACGAAAGGAAAAATTGTGCTTCGTATTACAGGACATTTGCAGGAATTCGAAATATCTTTTATATTTTAAATTTTAGATGATGAATCATCCTTGTTGGTGATAAATCAGAAATGTATAAAGTTTGATAAATTCAGGTATACAAAAAAGTTTTTGGATAATTAATTGTAAAAGATAAATTAGAATTTTATTATCTTAGAAAATAAACATAATCTAGAAATGAGATTATCATTAAAATTAGAAAAAGTGAGACGTTCTATGCGAGAAGAAAAATGTATATGATCGATAATGTAAATTATATAAAAAAAAGAAAAGTTTTCGTTTCGAAAGAAAATGGAATCAATTCATTAACTTTTTTTTTTAAATAACTTAATAACGTTTAATTTAATTAATTTATATATCTGCGTTCTATGATTAAATTTTTCATTAAATTTATCATCAACGTGGATAAATATTGTTCGCAATTGTTAAATTATCTCGAAAGTATAACGTATAGAAATCTCATTACACGTGTCATTGAACCGATTTCACAGTTGCATCGGTCGCTAAGCAAGCACGACTTTAATTCAATTGTAAATTCAGAATTTTTAATTCGGAAAATTTATCAAATGTATAATTAATCTTTTATGCCGGAACGAAACGCGAGCAGAGAGATTAAAATAAGAAATAGTATTCATTCGTTATCTCATATTTTTTTTAAATTTAAATTTCTCTCCTATCGGAAAGAAAGATGGAAAAAATCGTACTCATTATCCTCTTGCATTATGCCGATACGATTAACCAATCAATGCAAATAACCACGAAACAATCGCGAGAAGGAGGAGCAAATATAGGGGGAATATAGAGGCGCTATCGAAGAGAAACTGGACTGGATTTATAAAAATTTGATTAGCAAGCTAATCTCCATTCGAGGCTCTCCTATCCTCTTTGAATTATACCTCTGCATTAATACCGCGATTCTATCATTGTTGCCCTTGTTTCTCCAATTCCCTTTGAGAAACGTCTTTGATCAACCAGAGAGAATCGTTCCAACACCTTTCATCGATTCCATTTAAAATCACTTTGACGGTTTCGAAAGCGAAACAATATTTACCGTAACAATCGGTAGCAAAGTGGATGCAATATTTATGGATTTATCGATTTCGTAAACCTAACCTCTACAACTCGTTATCCCAAATACAAATATCATACGAGGCATTTGCAATATTAGACTCACCCCCCTCAACCTTTCTCGCCTTTGATCATAAAAACCATAGTCCCAATTAAGACCGAATAATTCACAAACCTCTGTGCAATTTCATCTTCATACATGGGCTTAAACTCGCGAGACTCGGAACTCGGGCGCGACATCTGGCGGGCAGAGAGCGAAGCAAAGCTCCCCCTCCGCGTAAACGCGCACATAAACGCAGTCCAGTTCCCTTCCCGCCCCCGTGTTTACGTATAGATGGGCGATAAATTAGTCTCACCTCCTGCGTCTCAACAGCCTCTTTAACGTGTTCCGCTATCTCGGCAGCCTTCAGCCCGGTTTCGATGGGCGCTAGTTGCGAGTGTCGCCGCGTCTGGGTCTCCGGGGTGATCTCCTGGTAGCAAGACTCGCCGGAGCCACGTCTGCTGTCCGCGATGCACATCGCCCGCCTGAACAGGCCAGCGACCACGGCGCACAG